CTTTCCCTAATGTCTACAGCATGGAAATGCCAGTAGTTGAGGTCAAAAAGCATGGAGTTTGGCTATTGGCCAAGAATGTAAGTAGAGCATGCACAACTGTGCATAGGTGCATGGATGATGGATGATCTTATTTCAATTGATATGTATCTTTCTTTCATGGGTGATGGAAGTTTTCTTCAAACAGGAAATGTTGTCAAATATGCTTGTGTTCTTTATTTCTTATATATACAGGTAGACCAATTGATTCATAGAATTCTAGTTGAAGGAGATGCCCAAAACTCCAGCGAAGATATTGACGAGCTATTTGATGCTTCAGCTGATGTGGGGGAGAAACTTTACAAAAAGGGTGACTTTGCCAAGTCACGGATTTCGAACCTAGATGTGTACCTTCTGAAAAATGTATAAACACACTTTTTTTGTGATCTAAGCAATTCCAGTCTCTTTCAAATGAGAAGATGGGAATTAACGCAGTGCCATAATAAATTGATCATTTTCAGGTTGGTTTGTTTCCAGATGTTTTAGAGCGTAAAGTTATGCGGCATTTCGAGGAAGGGGATCAGGTAAGACTTACATGGACTATGGTTACTGCCCCAGTTTTTTAGTACAGACTCTTGAAATGCTAAAGGTTCTCATGTCTTATCTCAAGGTTTCAGCTTTGGTGACCGGGGAATTCTACACTAAGAAGGAGCATTTTCCAGGATTTGCACGCCCATTTGTGTTCAATGCAGAGGTTTTGCTGAAGTTCGTACGGAACTTCTTCAAATCTTCTTCCGTTTTGTTTGTTCTTCGCTTCACCTTCTAAGTAGCTCTTCTTTTGCATCTCTCAGAGTCGGTCGCACCACAGAAGCCAAAGATGCTGCTAGGGGAGCTTTAAAATCGCCATGGTGGACTCTGGGTTGCAAGTATGAGGTACTGAATCTTTTAATTATGAGTTCATTTGGTGTTTTTGTATGTTTCCTTTCCCATGTGAGTACTTTATATGCTAACTATATGAGTTGGGCATTTATGGTATTCAGGAAGTTGCTAATATAGCTCAATGGGAAGATGAGCAAATTGAATACTTTAAGGAGAAGGTAACTGAAGAGGGAAGGCAAGAAGACATTAAGATGGGAAAGGCACCTGCTCAGGTTTAAATATTGTAGCTCATGAACTTAAGTAGGAAAAAGAATCATAATCAAAGCGTTCTTCTGTTCAACCAAAATTTCTACCTGTTTCCAGGTTGCACTAGATGAAGCAGCTTTTTTGCTGGATCTAGCTTCTGTGGAGGGGACTTGGGATGAATCTGTTAAGCGGATTGCCGGCTGCTATAGAGAGGCCGGCCTCAATGATATTTCGAGATTTGTACTGTATAGAGATTAACCATGAATGTGGCAGATTTTTATGCGGAATTCTTGTAAGCCATTGATTTGAAACATCCCTGCGGATGCAATTTTGAGTGCATTCCTTGCTCCTTTATTCTGTGACAGTTTCAACTTTTTCTCCTGGGCAATAGATATATATAGCATTGGTTTTATTCTTTCCACAAGGTTCACCTTATGTTCCTTCTCGTAAGTCTGTTTCTTCTTGGTGAATTCATTATTTGTTTTTTATGATAAACAAATATTTACTTAAATACACGCGCGTGCGCATATATCAAATGATGACGTGCGCATATATCAAATGATGATCAGTTGTCAGTGAGAATGATGATTTTTTTTTCCTCTCTATATTTTCCCAGAAATTAATCATTCAAGGTCAAGAATCTCATTGAAGTACCCAGTGAGTTACCCAGTGAGTTGGGGAGGACAATGGACTTTGCTTGTACACAGATATAAAAACTCAATATTTAGAGATGTAATCATTATGAAAGATGAAATTACATGAAGAGGATGCAGTATCCAAACTATCCTTTCATTTTTTCTTTTTTTTCATTTGATCTTTTAATATCAGCTCAGAAAACGGCTACTAGTGTTCATGTTTGTAAACTTCCCCGAGTTTCCAGAGCAATGGGGGAGAACATGTAAAATAATACAGAAAAACACGCAGAACTCAAGTCCGTGCACTATTTAACCATTCTCAGATTACCAACAGAAGTCAAACCATAATATTCATATTCCAAGCATGCAACAAAACCAAACCACAACGGTATTGAGGGATTCTCAACACTGGCCCTGTTATAGTTGTATAATGGTAATCCGTTATGAGGCAAATGGAAGGGGGGGTTTCTTGCTGTTACCTTTCTTCTTTCTCCAAAGTAGCTTTCTCCACAAACTCCTGCCTCCGTGCTTCTTGGTCGCCACGATAGCCAATGAATCTGCTGCAGCATTGTCATTCTGGTGTTTGCCACCAAGAACAAGGATCTTTTCTAGAGGCTCTATCGCCCCATAAGGCCCCAACTTGGCAGTAGAATTACTGTCAATTTCTTTCGTATCTGGAGACTTGAGATTCTTAGTCGCAGCATCATCTTCTGCTAGCATCCGATCCAATAGAGAAGTCCGGTGGCTCATGCTTTTGTCCTTCTTCAAGGTTGGGCTCGTAGTGTCAGTGCTAGTTTTTGCATCACTTGGATTAACGATGACCTTATCAAAGAGAGCTGCTTCTTTTGGAGCAGCCAATGCCTTCAGCTGCTTCCCGAGGTTTTGGATAGTCTCTTGGCACTCAGCTAACTTTTCTGAAGCAGCTGTTATCTCCCGATCCTGCAAAGTTTAGTAAACAGTCCTTGAAAGTCAAGACAGGAAAATTGACAACATAATGACAGGTCCATTTGTAGGCATGCATTTTAGGACCTAGAAGTATTCAATTCTTCAAGAAAGGTAGAACATGCTTTGGTAGAAATCACATTTTTAAACATGATAGCAACTCTCATGTTGCTATCAAAAAGAGATAGCAATTCTTCAAGCAGCTAACTTTTTAAACATGATAGCAACTCTCATTTGCAATTCTTCAAGCAGCTAATTCCTTGTCCATAAGGCCTCCCACCCCCACCACCACCATCACCACCAAAAAATAAAATAAAATAAAAATAAGACTGAAAATTAAGTTACTTAATTTCCATTAGCCAAAGAGTAAAATAACTAGAACTATTTATATACCCTTGAGAGAATACAGATAATAAGATGAACTTACGCTTCGAAGTTCCTTTTCTTCCGGATTAAGATCAGAGTTTGGGCTTTCCTTCTTCACACTGTGATAACATATATCAGATACATGAGGTCCCTCATCAATGCAAAATAAGAATGACTATTAACTAATAACTAACTAGTTCTCCAAGATAAAGAAAAAGTTGCATATGCTGGTGTATTGATACCTTTCAAGCTGGAGTTGTAGCTCAACACATGTAGCCTGCAATTCTTCAAACGAGTTGGTTTTGTTCTCCAGCTCAACTTCTAGAGATGAAAACTTCTGACGAGCTTCATTTAATTCTTCTCTAGTCGTTGTGAGCTGTGTACCAAGATCTTCATTCATCATTTTTTGATTTTCCATTTGGTCCTCAATCATCCCCTTTGACTTTCTTAAAGCTTGCAATTCTGTTTTCAAGCCATCAATGACCGTTTCAGATTCATGAAGTTGCTTCATCAGGTACTCGCTCATATCAGTAGCTGACTGAAGCCTCCCTTCTAATTCATCCTTTGATATTCCGCTGTCTTCTACGGCAATTGACTTCAGTTCTTCTGTCTGAATACTTTGGCTGTTTGACGCAGCAGCCGAGGACAAACGTGATAACTGTTCTCTTGGAACATGTGATTTGTCTGTTCCGGGAAAGTGACGCATAATTCCAACTTCCGCTTCACTTTCACTTCGTGAATCATCCCAATCGAATTGCTTTATGATGGCATCCCTCATGCTGGAAACATCTTGAAGTGAAAAGCAGTGGTTAATTATCCATTCCAGAGCAGTAGTTAATTGTTGCACTAATTTGTCAAGATCAGTCTTTCCGTTCAATAGGTTGTAACAGACATGCACATACTGCTGAAGAACAGCACTGAGTTCAGAAGTTTTCCATTGGAGAACGCGGACGGTGTAGCCTGCAGGTGTTTCTGAGTTCTTATATGAGAAGTTTCCACCCTTCCTGGAAAAGTCTTGATTATCATAAGCTGGTGATGGCAAACTGATCCCTTCAATAAGCTCAATCATTTTGCTAATTGAATTATTCAGATCTGTATGGACATGCTGATTGCTCTTATCGGAGTTTGTGTGTTTATTATTGATTACTCTGCCTGGTAAATCCAAATTGTTTGAGCTTTCCCTTGCATGAACAAGTTCACCAGGATTTTGATGCGTGAAGCATGCCAAAGCTACTCTAATATCCTCAATTATTTCCTGAAAGTTTCTTCCCGTTACGTGGTTTTGCTCCAAGATCAGTTTCAGAGTATCCTCAAGCCATACAGGAAATTTACCATCAAAACAACTTTTGGTTTCCTGGTTGGACACACTGAAGGTTGACTCGCTGTCAGAAACTGGAACTATCTCAACACCCACTGCTTCTGACGAATATTCCATTTCCAAGGGGCCAGCATTTGGATTAGCTTTATTCGAAGAAACCTGAGAATCCTTATCAGCAGAATCCACAGCAAATTTTTCCATTTCAGCAAAGTCATCCATCAAACTAATGTCCGAAGCTCCAACAACTCTTTTTGATATCGAGCCTTTTGGTCTTTCATTTCGAAAGTGTTCCAGCTCAGAAAGTAAAGCAGAAGCCCATGATTCAGCGCAGCTATCCTTATCATCGCTGCCAATCTCAGATACAGATGCTAAAGAGAGCTCATTGGACACGAAACTAGTCCTTGTTGGCTCTGTTACCATTAGACCTTTTGAAGACTCGTCAAGCCGCAACTCAACTTGTGATAGTTTGGATGCTGTAGAAGCATACATGTTTCGTGGGAATTGGAGCTCATTTGTCCTTTTAAGGAGCCCCTTTCTAAGAGCCTTGTTCTCTTCTTCCATAGCACATAACTGCTCTGTAAGCATGCTGATCCTTTTGCTGGGCGATTCAGAAGAGTTATCACCTGGAGAGTCAAACATCAAGCTAGTTGGAATCGACTTTCTCCTCTTATCACTGGAATCTCTTCCCAGCATTTCGACTTCATTTTTCATTTTTGCCAAGGCAGCAGGACCCGGTAACCGCTTGCGAACCAGGAGGCGCAGCCTCTGACATTCTGATTCTAACTTGGCAATTTTCTTCACACTCTCCAAGTGTTGCTTGTGTGCTGCATTAGCAGCTCGACGGTTAAATTCTCTCTCCTCATTTCGGATCTCAAGCTCTTTCTCTAGCACTCGAACTTCATATTTGAAGGAAGCATTATCTTTTTCAGTGGACTCCACTCTATTCATCAGTACACTAAAATCTGCTTCCACCTGATTCAACTGCCTGTTTAACTCTTCTATCACTTTTTCCTTCAATAGAAGAGCCTTGCCATGATGGGAATTTTCAGAAACTACCTTGGCAAGCCTTTTACTGGTTTCTGCTAACTTCTCCTCTAAAATCATCTGGGATGTCTCAAATTCCCTTGATGTCTTCATCACAGCATCATGAATCCTCTTCTCCTGCTCTTCTCGAACAAATAGCAGCTGCTGCATGCATTCCTTGAGGGCTGCATCCAAATGCGCTATTCTTTCCTCACCAGCAACTCTCTGCTGCAAAGCTTCATCCAGTTGCAATTTCAGAGATACAGCTTCTTCTTCTGCCTTTCCCCAGCCTATAGAAAAATTTTCAAACGAAACATTAGTTTAACAGATCGCATTGTTTTTTGGAAAGTGCAGATCATAAATGTTGCTAGAAAGAATACAACTGCAACAGGCGTTAGTATAAAATTACCTTTAATGGATTCCTGGGCCATTTTCGCATGTTTCTTCACGAGTTCATCTTTAGTGTCACATTCCGAGAGCGCTGAAGTAAGCCTATCATTTACAATTGTGAGCTCTTTCTCCATCTCCACTTTTTTAGCTAGAAGCGTCTGTATCTAAATAAAATAGAAAAATTATCCTTTAGTGTATTTTAAAAAAGTAATGGAAATTTTCACAATAATAATAGTAGCATCAACATGCTAAAACAAAGATACCTCATGCAATCACTCACTTGAGTTGGCAGTTACAAAGTATCATTTGCTTTGCCACCAGGAACTATAATTTTGGCAGTTCTTGCCAATAAAAATAACAAATTTGTTATGGATTCCCCCATCCACAGAATAGGAGATACCTTCCTAGCATCGGATACTTTACAAAGTAGTATAATTAGTTTTCTAATGAGGTCTTATTGTTTAAGCCAAACCAGATCATTTATCTAGGGAGCAGATGATAAGATGTCGATGACGACGACGACAACAGCAACAAAATAAATTATAGCAATAGTACTAAAAATAAAACATAAACAAATATGATCAGATAGTCTGAATTGTGTTACTGTTTCTCTAGAAGAAGTTGCTGATGACACAAAAGCTTTGGCAATTTACAGCACCTTAATCCCGATATTATGTCAGAGTGGAAAAGTGGTAAATGAAATTAATATAGTATTTTTTTTCAGTTCCAATATTATATTTTTCTTCCTAACCACCGTCTTAATTAATGAACTACATTTTCATATCATCACAGACAACATATCAAGGAGGTTGCTACTCATCTATCTGGATAGATATATATAGGTTGGCAATCCACATGATTCATGATGTCCATATAATGTTAGCAGATACAGAAAATAATTAGATGGTAACAGCTATTCTTATCCAAATGTCAGACTAGTTTCAAGTGTAAGAAATATTCGCTTAAAAAAGTGTTGTGGATGAAACCTTTACCTAATCCATAATTTCCTATAAATTTCTTACGCAGCAGATAAAGTAAAAAAAAAATGGAATAAATAGATGCGTAATTTATAAATCTACAGATTTAAAAGGTGACTTAAAAATTAAAAAAATAATAATAAAAAAACAAGTGACTCCTGTAACTTCTATGAGCTGAAAATATGATTTCTTTCCTTTTTCTCCCACAAAGTAATGAACCATCAAGTTTCTATGCATAATTATAATAAGAATTTATGTTGCAAAAGAAAAAAGGAAAAAAAATAAAGAGCGACAACAATCCTTTTCCCATACTTTTTCAGAAAATATCCTTCATATTATGCGTCCTTCAAAAAGAAAAAGTTAAATATGCGTAAAGGAAAAATATAACCTTATCGAAAATAATAAAATGGAATCATCGATTTCGCTACGTAATGAAAGTGTAATGATTAATGGAATTCATGGCTCAATACGCACAAATCAAGCCGTATAAACTTCAAAAGGACAAAAATATGAGAAAAATAGTTTGAAGAAAAGAGATATATATATATATATACACATGTATATATAAGATGAGATTGATTACCTCCTCTTCATTTCCTTTGAAAGATTTATCAGCCGCAACAATGTTCTTCTCTGAGGATTTCTTCTTCCAAAGCCACGCCTTATTTTCCATTGCTTCACTGCACCCAGCTTCTGCAATACGCTAACCTTCAAATCTGCACAGATTAGACAAAAAAAAAATGAAAAAAAAATTCACATTTTGACTCTAAAACCACATGTTGACTCTGTAGATTCAGCTGGCTCCTGTTAAAGAAAAAATATCAAACACTCACGCAATTTTTACTAGATTTTCTCATAAAACAACACTCGGAAAAACACCAAAAGAAATCCAACACAAGCAATTCCAGAGCAATCCGAGTCGGTGCATGGACGATCGGAAAGCAGAGGAGAGAGTCGGAAGAAAGAAAACACCGACAGTACTGTAAAGCTAACTAGCTTCAGACCTCATGAAGAATAACAACGGCGGATTCTCCGATCCTGACCACACTGTACATTCTCGCAAGGAGAGTCCGAAAACACAGAACTCAGCGGATCTTTTTAGAGAGAATAGAAAGGTGTGAGTTAGTGTTTGGTAAGCAGGAAAAGTAAAATGAGGGAAAAGTAGAGCGGGGGAGAGTGACGATGGGAAACGACTAAGGAGCAGTGGGGGAAGAGAGTACGGTCGAAATCAGTGAGAGGGAGGAGGTGCGTGGCCCACACGCGCCCACAGTGGAACGTTGACGGAGTTTGACGGGGTATTTGTCCGTTAGCGAGAGGGAGTCGCTGTCGCTTTTGCTTCCATCGGACGGAGAGAGAGCGGGGACGTCATTTTCACTTGTCAGCCTCACATAAAGCCCAGGAGGATCCGGAAAATTTTCTTCTATTTATCTAATAGGCTCTCTTGGATGAGGCCGAAAAAATTGACGGGTGAAACACTGTTTTAATTATTATTTTATTGTTTTTTTTTTATAATGTAAATTTTTAATGTGAATTTATACAAATTTAGTCTTTAAAATTTAATCTAAAGATAAAATTAGTAGTGTTTTACTAGTGAGATTTTTATCCGTTTAATTTATTAATTTAAATTTTTAATTTAATTTGAGATATAATTTTTTATGAGAATTTTTTATTATAATAAAAAAGTTAAATATAACTATTTTTAAAAAAATTTTACTATAATAAAATTTGAATCGATAAAATAAACGGGATATTAATGAGTTTCATTGTAGACTCCCTATATAATAATAATAATAATAATAGACTTTACGGGAAAAAATGCTTTAAATTTTTGCCGTGTAAATTTTTTGTACATGTCGTAGTTGTGCCAACTTATTGAACTGGGTTTTTTTTTTTTGTGTGGAATTAGTATGAATCGACAAATATTAAATGCTACCTGGATTTAGAGAAATTATGCCCAACATTTTATTTTAACAAGAAATTTTATATGTCTAACTTGTAAACTAAAATCTATATCATCATCATGATGAATCAAAATATACTTTTCTAAATTTAGATTGCAGTTATTATTGTTTGTCTTTTTTTTTTTTTTTTTTTGGCTAAGATAGTTTGTACTGTTACTAATGCTACACGTTTGGGGTCTATCTTTTTATGACCGTGATCAATTGCGAAGAGAAAATAGTCACGTATCTTTTCAGTAACCTTCTACATCCCTTTGGTTTGATGGAATGAAAATTCCTAAAATCTTTTTATTATCTTAATGTATTAATCATAAATTACCCTTCCCCCTATCCTAATGTGAATACAATATTAAAATTTAACCATACTTTTATATTCCTAGCCAAAAAAAAAAAAAAACTATACTTTTATCAGATTGTTAGTCTATTCCGTTTCAATAACTAACCAAAAATAATAGTTATGATTGTAGTGTTAATTCTAATGTTCAAACAAACATTAGAATTGAAAAAAGAAAAAAAAAATCACTACTATTCTTATTATAATTCCATTATATTCTTTTTTCTCACTCGTATTTTAATTATATTACCATCTAAATCAAACATAACCTAAAAATGTTGAGTGGAGTTTAATTAATGAAACAGAGAAAGAATTACAAAAAGAAATCCCTTAAGAGATATGTTGCGATAAAACTAACGTAATTTAACCTTGGTTTGAATCCTTTTTTACTCAAAAGGAAGACAAGTTCAATGCCGAAAGACAAAGCCAAATATGCTTAGCTGCTAATGACCTAATCGTTATATAAAAGCTTATGAAATTACTTAGGACTTTGATTTTATTTTAGGAGAAATGTCAGCGTTACTGTTTTTGTTACTCTTTTTCTCATTATTTACATTTACTGTTCGACACGTGAATTCTATTATCTCATTTTCTATTTAAATAATATATCATGTTAATGAACTAACGTATTAAACAATAAATATAAAAAATAACAAAAAGAATAATGCTAAGATTAATCTTATTTTAATTGCAGAGTAGGTGAAGTTTCTAGGTTTGCAACTTCAATATTCGGTAATACACTTTTAATGGAGTGAGCAATGCAGGCACTGTTGTTCCCTTATTTTATTTATCTATTTATTTTGATAGAGTGTGACATACTATATTCTGCTTTTTGTCTGCACTCACCACATAAATATACCATTTCCCCTTTTAGTTCACCATACGTACTCTTACTAAGTTTCTTTATTCTTCCTTTAATATGAAAGTACTCTGCTAATTATGTTCATGATAATCATGATTTAATGGACTTGTGGACCCTATTTTGCAAATTTAATTAGTTGTTGAATGTCATCTAGCTAGAAGAAAAGCATATCATGCCAATAATTTGTTATTTAATCTCTTTTTGATTAAAATAACGGCAATCTCAGCTGTCTTATATTATACTCTTTGTTAAATTATTATTCCTTTGCTCTCTTTTTCCACTACCCTTTTCCTTTGCTCTCTTTTTCCACTACCCTTTTCCTTGTATTCAGTTTTCATTTGTTTTGTCTACAGTGTACAAGCATTGACAAGACAGCCACACGTGATTATTAAAATATTGGAAAAATAAACTATTAAAACAACAACAAATAATATAAAATCAATTTACTTTAGTTTGAGATGCCACGCAGCTGTTGAAGCCAAAGTTGGTGGAACAGCAATTAACTTTAATTAAGAGATTTTGCCACTAATAATGTCAGTTAAGAAATATTAGAGTTTGGAGATGGGTAGTGTACAACACTACAACCTGCTCAAAGTGTAGACAAAACAAAGAATAAGAACGCCATTTCATGGTAGATACATATCATATTGATTGATAAATATTATATGGATGGAGTTCTATTAATCGTTTATAAATTGTATTAGATTTGATAAGATTTTAATGTTGAACAACTTTCACTGTTCATAGGTATTTTTCATTTTTTTTCTTGATCAAAGCTCGTTTAGTTCGCTGATTCGAGTTGATATGTGATTTTATGTGAGAACTTTTTACTGTAGTAAAAAAATTAGATGTGATTGTTTGTGAGAGCTTTTTACTGTAGCAAAACTCGAATTCTAAACTCGAATCAGCGAAATGAACGGGGCCTTTTTTTTCCTTTTTTTTTGACAGAGCAATATGATAAATTGAAGTTGGTGGCATTTCTCTTCTTAATATATTCACATCAAAAATTAAAAATTTTAATTTAGTAAATCTAATAATACTGTTGAGGAGTTTGTTAATATTTCTATGGCTTTTTTCACATGTATGCTCCTAAACTTCTTGCATTCGTAAATCAGTTTATAAATTAAAAATATTGACAATTGACCTCTATGAGAAAAATTACCCGACCGAAGTGTCTTACCCTCATATCACATTTCGATCAATTAGTTAGATATATGTTATTGCATAACGTCTTTTCACGTAACACAATAGGTATAATTGAAATGAGAAATTTCTTTTTTTTTTACCGTTTTCTTGCATGTGACTTGCACGCGGTCCATTATTTTTGACGGTCTAAGATCTCGTTCATTTTACTAATTTAAATTTTTAATTTTAATTTTATTACAGTTAAAAACTCTCAAATCAGACCATGTATATAACAAAACTTACTTGCTTGTAATGTGGTTATCCTATGATTCATCGTGGGAGGGAGAGAGTTCTGTTCATATGAGGTCTGCCTTAGGAAAAAAAAAAAAAAAAAACCCCTCTATAAAATGTAAAAAAACAAAAAAAAAAACAAACAAACAAACGTATGAGGGTTCACGACTGATTTGCCAGAAGTTGAATAAGCCTATTTTTTGTCAACGTGGTTTTGTTATAGACATTATAGTGGCTATTTAGAAGGAAGGAAAAGGAAAAGAAAAAAAAAAAGGCATAACCTAGGTGTGGAAAACGCCCTTTATTTTATCATCAAGAGTGGCAGGTTTGAGAATAGTGAAGAAAAAGTAAAAAAAAAAAAAAAAAAAAACAAACAAACAAACGTATGAGGGTTCACGACTGATTTGCCAGAAGTTGAATAAGCCTATTTTTTGTCAACGTGGTTTTGTTATAGACATTATAGTGGCTATTTAGAAGGAAGGAAAAGGAAAAGAAAAAAAAAAAAGGCATAACCTAGGTGTGGAAAACGCCCTTTATTTTATCATCAAGAGTGGCAGGTTTGAGAATAGTGAAGAAACATCACGGAATTTAATGAGCTGCGTCGACCTACTTTTGTGGGGCCACAATGAATTCTACCTCACTATTCACCAAAAAGAAAAAATGAATCCTACACTTGCATGGCGTTGACATGTTGCTCTCTATTTAATACATGTCCCTATTTATCTATGATCTATAAGATTACAGAAATATAATAGAGAAATCAGAATACCACTTTTACTTCAATGGAGCTTGACATGTGCATGCTTGCTTACTTTTTTTTTTTTAAAGAAATTTGTATATTTTAATTTTTTTTGAAATATTGTTTCTTTGATTTTCTCTAGTTTTTTTTAATATGTCCTTACTTATATAACACAATTTTTTAAATGATCATTTTTTAAATATGGTCATAATAAATTACCTTTTTCTTAAATGCTCTACTCAAATAATTTTTCTTAAATGTGTCTATTTTTTAAAATCTTATATTTATAATTTAAGGATCGTATATATTTCAATTTGTAATAAGTCAGATATTTAAGTCTTGACCGATAAAGTTTGAAGTGCTTTAAGCCCACTCTTTTTAAAATCACAAGCCTCCAAATATTGACGATTGAATTAGGGTCTACCTTCCTCGTTATTTTTTATTAAAATAGAGAAATACTAACATCACTTTTTTGTTACTCTCTTTATTACTCTCTATATTCACTATTTGACACGTGAATTCTACTATCTCATTTTTTATTTAAATAATAATATATCATATTAATTAGGAGTGGCAATTCGGGTTGGCGGGTTGTGTTCGTGTCGTGTTGACCCCCTCAATTGACACGAATATGTCTGACACGAACACAACCCGTTTATTAATCGTGTCGAAATACAAAACCCAAACATGACCTGTATATTGGCGGGTTGACACAACACGAATAACCTGTTTATTGAACATGTCATAAACGTGTCGTGTCAACCCGTTGATTACCTGTCAACCCATTTATAAAATGAGTGATAAATGGGTCGTGTTAATCTATTTATGAACCTGTTTATAAAATATGTGCTAAATGGGTCGTGTTAACCTATTTCTGAACCTGTCTATAAAATGGGTAATAAACGGGTTGTGTATTCGTATTACCCAAGTATGACACGTTTAATAAACGAGTTATGACGGGTCAATTGCAGGTTGGCGGGTCAATCTGAAAATGACACGTTATTTAATTGTGTTTCACGGGTTCGACCTGATTTTGACCCGTACCTATTTATGATAAACCCAAATCCGCTAAT